GACCATGTCTGTCAATCAGCTCTAGGTGTATTACGTAGAAGAGTAAGTCAAATACCTAGCCAGGGAGATGGACACATGTAACGGTACGTACTTATTCATTTAATGAAAACCGAGGAAGTGCAGTCCTCGGACTGCAACGGGAGCCAGGAACACGTAAAGCAGAAAAAGCTAAAGTAGACCTAGAGGATAAATTCTGCATCACTAGCAGAAGGTCAGCACAGCCGCGCTTCGGCCATGTATGCTCAGGGATAAACGTGGGGGTTTGTGGTGGAAACGGTGGATAAATACCATTCCAGTGTGTGACATTTGCACACAGTACGCCTAAAAATAAACAACACTAATCTACAGTGAGCAGGAACCCGAATGCTACTTCAGGTCTTTTTATTGTGCCCAGTACTGACCGGCATGCTCTACTGTGAAGAACTCTGCACCCCCAGCATCTCTTCCTCCTTCCCCATGCAAAACAAATACTGTAGTTCAATCCGCATTTCCCCAGGAGAAAAACTATTTCTTACAGTAATCTTTACTCTATAAAAGTAGATCATTTTGAGGTGTACTACAGCATCCCCAATGGTGGACAGGCTTGACGTTCTCCTCATACTCAACTTCAAGAAGTACAAGAAGTAGAGAAGTCTCGTACACATTTCACAGAGGATATACAGGAAAAAAAAGAAGGGATGGGGAGTAGGTCTGACCAGGTCTGCTTGGAAGCCGAAAGCACAGTAGTGCCCCACTCACACGCCAAGTCTTCCACAGGGTCTTTGATTGTTGGGGCCTTTGTGGTAAAATCAAAGCACCCTGCCAATTGTTTGCCCTCCAGCGCTTCCATTAGTTTCGTCACTTCTTCCCGAATGTTCACTGAAGAAAAAAAAGCCAACTAAACTACCAGCCAGAGATTAAAAAATGTGCCACAGGGTTGGGAGAAGAACAGAAATTTTATTAAACCCTTTGGAGTTCTACAATCATGTTTGTACAACGCTGCCTGAAGAGCTAGCGCAAGAAAAGTCTGCGGAAATTACATTGTCTTCACAGTAGATATAGCTGCACAGCAAAGATTTAATTATGAGAATTCTGCGCTGAAAACAAGCTTAATCCCTACGCCACAGTATGCATGCAAAAAAGTGGAATTACAAGTGACTATAACCAATCATAGTAATGAATTAAATACTCTCAAACACAGGAGATTTAAACAACAATGTGAAAGGTAAGATCCTAAATTTAAACTAAATCCCTAGAGTTATCACCACCTGTGTAGCAGGTACTTACCCGCCTAAACTGAGGATGAAATACGTGTATCAAATTTTTAGTAAGATAGTTTGTTAAAAATACATACATGGAACGAAACAGAAAGCTGCAGAAACCCTCTAGGGGAAATAATTTCCCATGAAGAGCCCCACTGGGTAAACCAACCAGAAAAAAAAAGTATTTACAAAATTGATTTGATACGCTATTCTGAGAAAGGGACAGAAAGGACCCAACTTCATTTCAAAATAAGCCTTTTTGCCTCTTAAAACAATCGGCTAAATTTGGCCATATTCATAGAGAAACATATTGTAATTCTGCCACGTGACTTTCTGATGTGCTGACACGCTGCAATGCACTGTAAATGGCAACAGGTACACAGGTTACGTTCCTCTTTTGAACGGAATTAAAGCGAGAATGGAAGCCTGCTCATCATCTTAAGCTTAAATGACTGACACGTGAAAAATTTAAGTTATGTTACTTCTACCAAGTGTAGTTGAAAGGTAAGTGGAACGAAAAGTAAAAAAATTTTCAAATGAAAACCCAAAAATTACATTCACAAAAAGAAGTTGTAGCAGAAAATACTTTAATTCGCATTTTATAGATTCAAACATAGCAAAGATTCCGAAGTGTTTAGATCTCAGTAAGCAGTTCCAACATTGATTTTGATTTTAATAAATATTACATTTTAATAGGCTAGCTACAAGGAGGAATTGTAACGTGATGAATTGCTGATTGCTACTTTACAAACGTAAGCATCTAGATTATTTACAACATATTACAGGTCATTTCCCAGAAAAGCACAAGCAGGGTCAGATAAAGGCAACCCCACCATCAAAACACAACTCAGCAAAGTCTGGCACAGTGTATTTCGTGCACATACAGTGACATACGGCACAACTCATCAGCTGAAGTAGGAAAACGCTTTTGTTATTCCAGCTTACACAAGTCTCTCTCTTTCGCTCTCACCTTCCTCCTCAGGCACTGAGGAGCAAGTTGTTCAGCAACAGCGCCCTACGTTTTACCTATGCGGTTTGCACGAAGTCTTTTTTACCATTTCACATAAGTCTTCATGACTTGGGAAAAATGAAACAGTTTTGTCTTTGCCTTCTCACTACCTCTGGGATTACAATCATTGTGTCGTTTGTACAAGGAAACGTACTTTTACTCTGAAATGAATGGCAGACAATGTTGACAAGCTGATCCCCAACAGGGAGCTGGAATTTAACATAGTTTACAGGTCACGGACAGTGTCACTAGCCTTATTCTTTAGTATAAAAACGGATCTGTAAATTTCTAAAATTTAATTTAACATATAAAGAACCAAGTCATCCGACTCACACGGCAAAACTTCATAGGCAGCATAGTCACAGAATGTACATCAAATACAGTAAAAAAGATGGTGACAGGAAAATTGTTTCAACTAGATTTGTAACAGGAAAAATCTTATGTCCTATTTCTACGACAACAGTGAAGCGAAATGCCTTCCATATTTGATCACCAAGAGAGACGTACCTTCAAATGCAAGGGAACTTCCCCGTACACAGCATTTGCTGTTCAGTTGCATTCCTGTGTTTCCATGACACAAAGGAAAAGACGGAAAGCTTCCCCTCTCTTCGTGTCCTTACCCAACGGTATTAACCTTGCCTGCATTGTGCCAACGAGGGTTGCGAGGAGCAGGTGTCCAGCATCCGCCTGCCTGAATCTCTCACCTGTCCCATGAGCAAGTGCATGATGCTAGTATGTGATGCTGCTTCAGTGTCCGTAGATTTTAGCCAGGCACGGGCGGAAAAAAAGAAAACCAGCAAGTGGCATCCCCAGAAGAAGGTTGGAAGCAATTCACTTTCCCCATAAAGCAAGGGGAAAAAGGGAAGAAACAATTCCGAGACTCGGGTCCTTCCCGGGGCAGCACAGACAACACCGTTTATTTTCACCTAGAAAATCCTGCCTAAAGCTTTAGGCACTATAATATATAAGAATACAGCTAAATCCCAGCTATACAGCATTCTTCACGCAAGTGAGCCTACAAGTTCTAGCCCTTGCAGCTCAATCCAAAAGGCAAGGAATTAATGGCCAACTGAAAAACACACACTTTCGATATATACAATTACTCAGAAGAGTTAGATACTCAGGGTGTAACCCATTTACCAAACACAGCTGTTCACATCTGAGCTAGTTACCTAGATTCCCTCTTCAATTTAATGGAGAAAAATAAACTCTAGGGTGCAAATCACTGCATCTTAGAGTATATCATACGGAGCTCAGAACAGGCCAGATGAGTCCACCTAGAAATCACCTGCCCTTCTCCATTAACTAGAAAAGGGAAGCCTGCGGTGACTTGCTCAGACACGGGCGCCCACAGGCAAGACAGGCTGCTGGGTAAGAACATAACATCCCCAGGCTGGCATCAGCTTTCTCTAACGCCATGCTAAATTATCTGCTGGCTTAAACAGGAACTTATGACTGGCTACCAGTTCATGGCCAATTTGCGCAACTATCACCAAAACTTTGTGGGGGTGGTTTGTGGTCGCTTACATTTAGCTTGTCCCAGTTTGACTCAAGAGGGTTTCCTTTCTTGAGAAACAGTGTTTTTTATAATAGCAAGTGTCAGCAGGATAGTCTCTCATTTCCAGGCAGGTAGAAATTTGAGGCTAGTCTGGAAACAAAGGACATAGAGCGTATTCCAGCTTGCAGAACATCCCAGCTGTAAAGGACCACATTATGGAAGCCAATACAGTTACAATCCATTATATAAACAGGTCGCTAAATATCTGGTAGGGTGAAAAATGTTTAAGAGCACTTTATTTTGTGAAGACTTATTTTTAAAAACAAGAGAAGTATCTACACTGTACCAGCACTTCCTACATTCGTAACTCCTAACTTCACTTTGAAACATGCTGGTTTAAAAAAAAAAATTATTACTTCATTTTAAATTTAAACCAATATTTGGTTGCTACTAATCAGTAGTGCTGTTTCTGAATTCTGTTTTGGACAATGGTAAGTTATCATTGATATTCGTGGACAATGATACACAAGTAATTTCTTATTTTATGAAAGTTACGTTATTAACATACCCGTTTTATTACGCTGAATATCCTTTTAAAGAAGATACAGTTAGGGATTGCATAGATAGAGTATGCGGTATTAAATGTCAGTCTGATTATGAATTTTAAAAAGCGTCTTTTTTTAAAAGTGACTACAAAACCAAGTCCTTACTTTTTGCACTGACTTTTTAACATAGCACTAAAACATAACCCATAAAAAGCAAATCTATTTCCACGGCTCAAAGATTGAAGTGTGCTATTTTAACATTTTAGACATTACAAAGAATTTCCGGAAACTAAACTTGTGATTACAATCTAGAAAATAAAATGGGCTAGATGCGAATTTGATTGACAGAGGCTTTTCAGCTAGCAGCACTCCACTAACCATCTCCCCCCGCCCTTACCCCCACCCCCAAGCAAATGCAGGTAGCCAAGGGGCCGCAGAAAAGTCACTTCCAACTGTGCTGCATCAGGGACAAGGTAGTTACTTTAAAGAAAAAAGGAAATTCTGAAAAGCAGCACGTAAGGAAAAAGATGTTGGTATCAACACGATGCAAAGGAGCTCAGTATGAAATAAAATTTTCTGCTCAGTAAATTTCCTATTTTTAAGTAAGTTTCATTATTACAGTAAGAAGTCAGAACTCAACAAGAGCCTTATTTCCTTTTCTGTTTGTTTTGTCGGGGTTTTTTTGTTTATTTGGGGTTTTTTTTTCCCCTTTTAGACAGCCAGAATCCACGTACCCAATCCTCAGAATATACTGAAGCTCAGTACTGGGGAGAGGTGAACCACCTCTCTCAGGACAGGCCAAGTCAGGGTGGAGGTACATATGTTTCCATATAAAACAACTGTCTCAAAAAGACAAGGAAATAAAGAAAATCTATGAAGTTTCAGTACAACAGAACTGTGAGCAGAGAACTTAAAAAATAAACAGATCAGCATAATTTACACATTTAAAAACTAAATAGTTCATTCATAAATATCTTTTCTAATTAATAACCATTCCTAGTTTAAACATAAATATTCAAGTTGGTATTTGATTTTCCTTTTTATCAGTTCATGTGAGTCCTGTAAGGATCAGTTCCTTCTGCTCAATGCAGTCATGTAAATGGTCTTCACTAATGGGTTGTGCAAAGGCCTTCATTACCTAGTTTGTTGTAACAAAACTTTAAAATTCTGCAGCTCTCTTATACTTGTGGAAAGCCTGTAAAACAAAATCCCCTTAAGTGTTAGTAAGCCAACTGTGAAAGAGAAGTGCAAATTGTCATTGTCCGTGGGGGCTTTTTGTTTGGTTTTTTTGAACACAATTCTGTTCCAAAGATTAACTAAGATACTACTTTCCCTCAAAGGATCTACCATCTGACTCTCCGTTACATTTACATAGTATATTACAGGGACTAAAGTTTAGATATATTTTAAAATTTCCTGGCTTCATTAAACATCTATAAAACTCTCTAACCAGAGGTAATAAACATTAATTCCATCCTTTTAAACAGGACCAGATTGTTATATTCAAGATCTGAAGAACTAGCATATGAACAAAGCAAGTTCTACACATCTTTTAAAGCTGTTGAAATGTTTTATTTCATCGCTTGAATGGGGTAGATTTTTGCTGTTTTCAAAAAAAATTGAAGTTTTAAGAAAAATCATCACATCATACACAAAAATACAAAAGCCTAAGGGCTAAACAACAGCGTTAAAAAACCTCCAAGTATTTTTCTTCCCATTCGCTACTACTTTTGACGTACATACATTTAAAACAGAAATAAAAAAACCTTGGAACAGCTCTACTCAGTGTCCAAAACTGAGGAGACATACCCCAAGTCTAATGCTTAAGACTCTTTGAGACTTAAATCCAGCTTTCACAAGATGGAATTTATGAGATCTGAGATAAAGACATGAATTGGATCCCAACACACAATGATGACCAAGGCTAATAATCAGCACTCCACATACTTGGTTTGATGGCATTCAGTTTATCAATATCACTAATAGTAATTCAGCCTTTAAAAGCTACAGCTACATGTACAACTCCATCTTTCCACAGACCTTGAGTGTTGACACTGAAGTTTTACTGTTTTTCTACTATACAAATGATAAAAACTTACCTTCCAAAGGCATTTACAAGAGCAACTATTTCTTGACGTGTGAGTTGAAAACCTTTTGATGGACTATTCTCAGGAAGGCTCTGTATTTCTTTCTCAGAAAACAAGATCTTCAGAGCAGTTCCTAAGCCTTGAGTCTACAAGAAAAGTCCAATGCTTTGACATCAGTAAGATCACTCCTTCACTTCCCATCTCTTCTTCTCAGCCACAGCAGATGCATATGAAAATATGCCTGTTAACAACACTTCCAGCTCCCTCCCGCCCCTTACCTTACAGATGCCCCACTGCTGCAGGAGCTGTTGGATCAATCTCCCCTTTTCCTTCTCCCCTCCCCCTTCCAAGTCAAACTAGGTTTTATTATGAGGTATCACAACATTTCTGCTTTTTCCACCTCTGGTCCCAGTGGCAGACATTGCAGTTTCAGTTTCTACCCCTATTTTCTATACAGAAATAGAACAGAAGAAGCTATTCTTATTTCCCCTTTTAATCGGGCTACAGAAGCAACCACTGGATTTTGACCAAAAGTGGTTGAGGCTGGCTGCAAGAGAATTTTATGGGTCAAGAAATCTGGCTCTATTTCATTCTGTGTGAGGAGGAAAAAACAATAATAGATCAGAAGCATTAACTAGGACACGGTAGGCGGAACTCTGGAAATTCAGCAGAGACCACCAAATTTTTGATAAATTTCTTTGAAAACTGAACTCTGATAAGCTTAATGCTATACAGCAGTATAGCACAGTAGGCATCCCAAAGTAAGAAAAACAGGTGTCCAGAAACTGACATTCTGCTTTTCAACTTTCAGCTTTACTGTGGACTTTTGCATTCATTTGCTGCCTTCTGCATAAACTGTGAAAATCTGAATTACTTCTTTTTCTTATGCCTCAATTTGTGGAATTAAATCTCACGCTGAATTTTCTAACAATTAAGCAAGTGCTGTATTTCCAGGAAGGCTTCCCACAGGTGATTCTACAAGGCTCATCTGATCGCTGAATACACAGATGAGATATTGACTGCCAGTAAGACTTTGCCGTGAAGCATCTGCTTTAAATACATTTTTTTCGGAGAATACAAACTATACCTTTTAGTCTAGCTGTTGACTAAACAAAATAAACATTTTTTTAAACAATTTTTTTTTTAATTGTTTAACAGTGAACTAAACATACGTCTATTTTTAATATATAGGTAAGGATATCAAAGACCAACCATGTGCAGAAAGTCTGAATGCTAAGGTAAGAGGCATCCTGCCAAACTGAAATAGATGTTTATCTTCTAAACTCCCCCCCCGGCCACGCACACACACATGTAAAATAAACTATACCTGCAGTTTGCCCCACAGCCTGCATTTATCACATCCGACACAATCCATTATGCGGGATATGTTCTTGAAATGCAATCTGAATTCTTCCTATCAGTTAAAAACAAAATAAAAAACATTAACTTAAAGTACCTCTTAGTTAACCTTCTGTTTTTGTAAAGCTAATCTAGTACCACTAGAATATCAATTCTCTATTACTAAAACTGAACAAAACCACTACCATATGTGGTCATGCCATAACAAAGGTCCACGTAAACCCAGAATCTTATTTCCAAGCCACTGCTAATAGTTAATTCCTCGAATAAACCCCAAAAATACAGGACATGCAGTGTACAGGATTCTGTACACTGGGTTTCTAGCAACTTGCTCAAAATTTTCTGAGCTATAAGTACCGTATCTGTGTCCCTGCCCAATTTTTCTTCCATTATTCAACTCCCTTTTGAACCAACCTATCTTTTTGACAAACAGGTAAACAAGTTACAATTCACAAAAGACATTTTCTGTCCAAAGCTATGGGTAGATTGTTGCTTTGCAGTTTCAGTCAGAGTGGAAGCAAGCACAGCACAGAACTAGTTAAGATAATAATTAAATTTTAAGGTCAGAAACACACTAGCTGGGCTGATAAACTACCGGCACCTTTCTAATCGCATTCTTTCTAATGCTGATGAAATTCCATACTACTACTGAAATAAGTATTAAAAGTGTTAATAAGTTGTTAAAACAGACCTTTATTACTGAGCCACACTCCAACTGTGGAATTGTAGTCACACCCATCTGAACACCAGCGTGTTAACACTGGAAGTTGCTAGGTAGTAACAGCATTCACATTAAGTTCCTATGTCTAGGAACTATGCTTTTCTAATGTTAAGTATAATATTATATTATACTATATTAGGCATCTGTTTTTTAAGCAAACATCACTGGTTTTTTTTTTCAGGTGCTCATGCGAAACAGATACTCTATTTAAAAAACACCATTGCATCTACCGGTAATACCAATTCAACTCATTTGCCTCACCGTGGTCCTGATGGCAGACCCAAGGCACTAAACCAGAGATTTCAGTCTGTTTGGCTCGGGACAACACCTTGCATTCATTTACTACAAAGCAGATTAAGAGGCCTCAGATACAATTCTGTAAGTTTTTATCCCTGCCTTTTCTACTCTCAGCAGTATGCTTCTGGTAGGTAGAGAGGTTTTCTAATATAACACAACTTAATTCCAAAATGGCTATTTTGGATGTCGTTCAGAAAACCAGCTTTACCTTTAATGACTTGGCTCCTTTTTTATCTCCAGCAAACATGGACTTTTCATCAAAGTGCATATGGAAGGACCTAATAAAGACAAAATGCAAAAAAACCAAACAGTGGCATAAAGTACAGTGTTCCACCACGCTCGGTAAGCAGCTGATGCCATCAGCGTAAAATACTTTTCAGAGTTCCTAGTCTTTGCAGAATAGCTCTTAAAAAATTTACTGAATGGTATCAGTTTTACTACTCGATCACTGTAACTTGAAATGTGTTATTTACAGTTTTGTTGACAATTTTCTTCACTCCATTTCCACTGATCAAGATTTCTTTCTACTATACACTGAAATTGTCTAAATATTTGTCGTTCAGTTGATCGTTGTCTGACCGCATCTCAAATACCTAGCAAGGTTATGATTAGGGATAGCAATGAAGCCACACAGCACATTACCAATCACAAAAATTAGTGAGAAGGTGAGCAAAGGAACTGGACTAAAGAACCTTACAGAGTAAACAGAAGGAAGAAGGGATGGCTAAAACCCCAGAGGTTAAGTCTCTGATAAAAGCTGGATTACTCACTGGATCATTAAAAGACTACATGTACTATTTTCCTTTTCAGAATAAATCATGTGCTTCTTATACTGAAGAATCAGAAAAAGCAACAAATCGGGAGTAGCCCAAGGTGTTGTGTGGGGTTTTTGTTGTTGCTGTTGTTTTTTAAAGATTGGTACATTCAAACCTCAAAATAGTCATCTCTTCCCGTCAAATGTACAAATTCCTCTTGTTCTCTCCCATTACTTAATTTTATTTCTTCATTCCACTCTCCTTCTTGTCCCATCCTATCAAGAAGTCATCTGTTCTCAGTTGCAAATATAACTGAGAATTTCAAACTATCGATAAAAAAAAAAATCCTATGCCTTACTTTGTATCCCTGAAGATATCTAGTAAGAGCGCTTTAGATTCAGCATCCTCATGCCCATTTCCAGTGTAAAGGTCAACAACTGAACGCTCAAAGTACGGTGCAACCTTTGACAAAGCACGCAGCTCTATCAAATATAAGAAATACAAATTTTTGAGCCTCCTTGGTCCTTCTCCTTTTGTTTCAATAGGGTCAAAGCGGCGAGTGAACTCTTTCACATTCGGTCCCCAGCGAGGCTTCCCCCAGGTTTCTACACAGAGGAAAAAAAAGGGCAGAGGGAGTAAAACGTACATACTTAGAAAAAGAAAGCAACTAAGTATACATCAAAAATTTTCAGAAGAAAAACAAATACATGTTACAGATATTGTAGAACTCCGTTCAGCAATTTTACTTAGAATTAAATTACCTTCAAGAAGATAATTTGCACACAGATGCAAGTTGATGCTAGCATGAAGTCCAGAAATGAGTTTATAAAACACTCTTTTCTCAAGGCAAAGACCTGTCCAGGAAAAAAGACAAACAGACCCCAAACTAGATACTGGAAATAATGCATTAAAATGAATATACCTTGACATTTCAGCGGTGCAAGTCTGCATCATTTAACTTTCAAGAGTTACAGTACTTCAGCATTGTTAATAAGCCCTTATATCCATCATAGGAAAAGTTTACCTCTTATTTTTTATATAAAGAAGTACTAAGAATGAAGTTTGACATTTCTTACTTGGTATTTAAGTGTTCTAATAAATACAGTCAAATAAGTACCTGCTCAATTAATACAGAAAAATTGCCACACAAAAATAAGATGCTTATACTGTTTGAGCAATAAATTTGAAATAGTCTTGAATTTTGACAGCCTGGAAACCAGAACTATATTGTGACCCATCCTAATTAGAATTAAAGCTACCACTGAATTAGAATAGCGACCTTACAGAAAAACATCAAGAACCCCAGAAACCTTATGGCATTGGAAAACAGCAAAAATATTTCTTCCCAGCTCTACTATAAATACACTGAAGATTTAAATGCACAGATCAAAACCTTGAAAAATATGACTTTGATGGATACAGACTTCTGCAGCGTAAACAGAAACACAATGGCATTGGGTGGCCAAAATATAATTTAAATGCAAAAATTACTTATAATACCACTTAGACCCAGAGATGGAGACCACACTTGGAATTCAGGAGTTTGTTCCTTTCTCAAAGATGTGTTTGGGTGACTTCCCTGCCATTCCAATCTCCACAAATGGAAGCAGGAAGAGCTGATGGTGAAGCCTATCTGTGAGGCTGAGATATGGCCTCATTTACAGACATCACATTTTAAAAAGCATGTAAATTTGTGTGCTCTCCTACAATAGCACCAGTTAGATTTCCAACTAGACAAGTAAAGGCTTATGAAAGGCAGAATGAACTAAGTTTAAAATTAAGTACATTTAACTCATGTACTTTTCTGCACACCTCCAAAATGCGATTTTTATTGCTACCACTGTAATAAGTTCAATTTAAATATGAATAAAAAGAAAATTGCTTTGCCTTCTGAACACACATTATACTTGTTAGTTTACATACTACGAACAGAACCATCAAAAACTTTAATGTTTTTTTCAAGCTGTTTTCAAATAAAAATGCTTCGCAATGTTACTAATAATAATGTCCCTGCTTAAATGCCTAAATTGAGCAGAAAATTCGAAGTAACTGGTATTGAAGTGAACTCCCCCTTTATAAAAGATGAAGCACTGAAGGGTTTAAGGAGTATACCATCTAAGTGAATGAGAAGATTTCCAAAGACCCTCAACAAAAAAATAGTCTTTGAATGACACTCAGAAGTTCTGCACAATTTATTGAAAAGCCTACACTATGAAAGTATTTGGGGAGATGAAAAAATACTACAGTGTTTCTTCTAGTGAATTTAACATTATATTAACCCATCCAAAAGCCTTTACCTTCTAGCCATGTGTAGAAAGATTCTCCTGTAAATACAAAGTATATAGTTAAATGAAGAGTATTCATTTTCAAACATTACAGTATCTTTATACTACTATGCATACTAACATTAGCTGCCATCCGGACATAAAGCTAAATAATTTAGCTATTAAAGTGAGAATAGGCACTGAAGTGGCTGAACTTTGAGGTTAGTTTAAATCTGTTGGGGTCAGAATAGGAGAAATACAAGAATGAGCATAACTGAGCTACTGGTCAGGGCATTCAGAAGTGTATGGAAGCACAAGCCTGATTATACGCACTAGTGGTGAAAGATGTGACGGAAGAGTGTAATTATATCTAATAGCCTCTACCCTGACCGCTGTCTGAAGGTTTCCTGTAGGCTTAGATCTTCTGCCTGAGAGCTTTCAGTTGACTGAAAAAATCTTAAAGTCTGTCTCACTGCAGACAGACCAAATGCTTTTTCTCCCCACTCTCTCCCCACCTTCCCAAAAATCAAGGACATTCAAGAAAGTACACAAAAAGCTGTCCCTCTTCTTTTAAGGGATCTGACATCAGTATCGATGGGGCTCTGGAGGAGACCCAAGAATCCTTTAATTTATGCATCTCCAGTTATCTCGCTAATAACATTATCACAACACACATTCTTCTGTTAAAAGGATAAGAACCAACAACCGAACTGTATTTTGCTCTTATCCACTCCTTCCCCCTACTCCAAATGAAAGAATTATCCCAATAAAAACATTTTCTGATCAATCATCTGCATAAAAACATAACTTTCTTGCCCTCTAACGCAATAGCAATAAAGTGAATAAATCAGATGTCCAAAACTCTTTACTTCATTTCAGCAAGTCAAGCAAAATAAGATGACTTACCATCATCTCCTCCTTAGGAGAAAAAAACAAAACAAAACAAAAGAAATCCATAAGCATTAAAATTATAATTTCCACAGCAAAGTAGCAATGAAACACAGGCTTTACTACAAACACTGAAAAAGTGCAAGACACCTTATTTAATCTACAAAAAAATAGCCTACTTTCCATCTTCTTCCTCCTCCTCAAGACAACCTGAGACTAAACACATTACTATAATGAAAGTCACTAAGAATTTGAAGTCTTAGTAGCAGCTGATTTCCATATTCTTGAAAGCTATGTTTTAGCTTCAGAAAGATGGTTAGGAAGTCTTCTTCAGTTCACATTATTCAGCAATCTGACCAGTGCTCCTTTCCGAAATGCTGATCCCTGAGTTAAACTGCTTTTACAATTCTTTTTATTTGTGTATACCAGCAATATATTATCTCGATATTTATAATTACTAAAAGCTATCTTGATTTTCTAATGTGTGGTGATATTTTCTAACTCAATCTACTGGGTAATAGTTAATTTTTAGGGGAAATGAGACACACTGACAGGGGAAAGCTGCTTCATTTGGAACAGCAGGTTATCGTTTTCAATTTAAATTTGAAAACTTAAAACCCAAGTAATTGGCATACTTTTTTTTTTTTTAACATTCTTGCAGATAACTGAGCCTAAGTATCCACTCTTTCTTCAAATAGTGCAATTATTTGTGCATTTGTAATACACTAAACATTAAGGATGGAAAATGTACAGCTACGTTACACTAGGATGACTATGAGCTAAAGTGATTAACTTAAATGTTCTACAAAAAAAACAAACAAGGGAAGAACACAGGAGTGCTGAAATTTTTGTTGAACTTTAACTCCTTCCCATCTACATTGGAAAATTACTGTGACACTTACTAAACGGTTTTCATGTTAGCTCCCCTGAAATTAATAAGCCTATTCATATGCATAAGACTAAGCATGTATGTAGTCAAGTATCACAAACCACAGCCTAAATATTGAAAATGGACATCTACTTCTACAGAGGAAATTAAAAAAGCAGAAAGCACACCTACAGAATGAAGATTACTATTCATATCACTTGTACTGCAATAGTCACTATCTTAAAAGAACTGCATTAGAAAATAAAACAGGCAAGACCCACCCCTACTAGGCGCCAGTGGATTTAAAGGACGATAGACAGATCGAGGCCTAGAAAATAAGTTAGAAAACACAAAAAAATCAGTTTTACACTAAATTGAAGCACAAGTATAAGAAATAGGCTTCCTCTCCCCCTCAATTACTTGAAGCAGTTTTCTTCATAGATGCTGTTCCACACTCTCCAGGCAGAAGGCCCCTTGTATCCAGTGTAACGTTCTGGATTCAGCAGCAAATCCACATACTGCGCATCTGGAGATCTCTCATCTAAATAGGAAACCTTTTGTTACGTATTCTAACTGATCAGTTAAAAAAGATTTAATTTAAAAAAAGTCACACAGGATATATAATATATAAATAAGAGGTATAAATAAGAGGTCTCACATAATATTATTCTGTCTTCCAGTTGGATTATAAATACCTTGTACATAAAAATACAGCAATATACACACTAAATAGAACGCTCAAAAGTATATAATTTATTCCAAAGTCTCTTGTGCGGCCACAATTTCTACAACGTCTGAACACCTTCAACGTGGCTTCTTCAACGCCACCAGAAACGCTTGTCATGCAATGTGTTTCTCACCCTACGCTAAGATATAAACAGTGTTTTGTTTTAAATGGGCTTCAAATTCAGGGTTTATTTGTCTGGCAGTATTTGGTTGGGGGAGTTGCTTTTTTGAAACGGATATACTGCTACAGGGGCTTCTTAATAAAGACAAGGTCAAAGAAGTGCATCTTGTAGTTAGTACATATTGTACATGTATTAGCTAAATCACTTTTTTCCCTAGATACCCTTGTATATTGGCAGAAAATCTGGATCACATTGCTTAATTGAACAAACTTTCAGCATATTGCAGAATGCTCTGTTGGTTATGGCAAGAAACTTGTTATTTAAGCAGCATTTCAACAAGTTATACCCTCATCTCTAAAGTTTACTACAAATTCAGGCAACATATCCAAAGATAATTGTGAAACAGTACTCTCTCTGTTTAAAAACTGCATACGAATAGAAACTTAAGTTTCGAGCTACAACCAGTTAAAAGTAGGAAGAATTCCCTCCTCCTTGAAATTCTAGGTCAAGAGCAACTCATGCTTAAAAAAACCCACATACAATACAAGCCAGTAGTCCAGAGACTTATTCATAGGAATAGGTCAAGCAGTGCCACTGAGTATTTCCTCAGATGTCGAAAAAAGCCACAGAAACAGAGAGTGAAAACTGCTCTAAAAAGAAGAGATGATTCCGCATGAGTAGTTAAGCATCGCTTCAGCAGTAGTAGCAAAAACAAAGAAAAGAGACAGACACAAGACGCACAACAATACAGTGAGTGCCAGATGAGACAAAGTCAGATTAGAGCTTTATTTATTTCTTTGACAGCATGGCTAACCTAAGCAGTTCCTACACTTCCTGGTCGCTTCAGGTCTCCACTTTTTCTTCTTGTCACCCACATACAACTGAGCCTGTGGGGCAATGCAACAGAAAGATGGAAAGCTGACCGGGGTTATGAAGTTTTTTTCAGCTAGATCAATTCCCTTATCTAGTTTATCATTAAGCCCAACAAAAAGCTAGTAAAAAGTAAAACTGATGATATGGTTTTGTGCTACAGTTGAGTGAACTAAGAGCTCTCTCACCACTGGGAAGAGAGGAGAGGAAAAGAACAAGAGTTTCTACCTCTTTCCAGTCACTCCCAGTAGTTATTCTCTCTCACCTCTCCCTGTTCCAGCTCACAAACTCACCTAATAAGCCAGTTCATCACAACAATCTGGGAGATGGGAGGGGAGATATCAACTTACTTTCCTGCTATTCAGGTAAGCTGCATCAGCTTACCATGTAGAAAGATGCAAGCCAGAGCCAGTGCAAAAAAAGCACTGGAAGAACACAGCTGGGGGCAGTACATCCTCCTTCAGCAGGGCATGATGTAAAGAGAGATGGAGATAGAATCAGGAACTACGTAAGTTAGCATTACTTCTAAAAGAAATGCTCCTAAACTATACTTTTCCCAACTGAGTCCTCTTAACAATGTAAGTAGGCAACTTGAACATAGTAGAGACAACAGCAGCTTATTGCATGTAACAGTTCAGATCTACAGTAATGCTCTCCGACTATTTATTACAGAAACAGCTTATATAGAAAATTTTCATAGATAAGACACAGCAGAAATGCTGAAAGAGAACCGCAGTTGGTAAGTCCACTATGGCTGCTTTCTCAGGTGACACCAAACATCAGCCTAAAGGTAGATTGAAACATCTTGCATTATGCTCTAAGTCTTCCTAGCATAGAAAGCTTTCTAAGGTATTTATTAAAAAGGCCTTTAGCAGTCATTCCTGAACTTGGCAATTCTCATGTTTATCTGACAAACATTCCTTTGAGCTTTGAATGTTACAAGCAAATAAAAAGACTTAAATATGTGGAGCAGAGGGAAGACATAATCTAGTATCATGATGTTTTAACAATAAGAAAGTCCTTACAAATAAGGGTGAATTTAGTGCAGAGATCGTTTGGAAACATAGCAAGGCTGGAAGAGGAACAAACTCAGTCCAAGCATAGACAGTAGAATAGCAACAAAAATAACATAGTAGTAAGAAACTGAATCAGCTGCAAGTAATTTGTCTTATATTTGTGCTAGATGCAACTTTTGTGAGAAGCTTTTTAAAAAAAATATATGCTAACCCCCTCCCATTTACCTTCTTTTTTATTTCCGTAAAAGTCTTCTGTTCACTTTACTAACAGGAGGTAACAGTGAACGTGCCATGTGTAGACTACCAAATGCTCCTTGTAAAAAACTGCATTCTTTGCATGTAAGATGATATGAACTGTCACATCTCCATTTAGCACAAAATTAAAACTTTTAAAAAATGGTTATTTGCAGAGAAACTATAATATTTTGTGTTTTTTAAGAGACAGCAAATAAAACAAACACTCTGAAAAAGCTTAAACATTTTACCATCAAGTTCACAAAAATGATCCTGTGAATCATCGTATCTTGCCCAGTCAATGAAAGCCTCCTTACTTTGGTTACTGAGGGGAAAAAAATACATTTGATTTTAAACTTTTAAATAAACGACATCAATAAGAGCTACTGAAAGAAATACAATCCACATATAGTAGTTAACTTGGAACTGAATTCTGTATTACTGTATCTGAAACTCAAGAATATATGGAGTTACCGCTTGTTAGCTGCACAGAGATCCAAGCAGGCATCAACTGCAATACTTCAAAAAGTCATCTTGATGTTAGACAGCAAGAAAGATTTCACCATCATTATTTGAACAAACTGTGCAGCGGCAGTGACTTCTCTTCCTTCAGTAAGAGCTTGGTAAAATACTTTCATCGCATACGTTTTTAACACTTTTCAAAGTACTACTTTAGCAGCTGTCGCTTCGGGGGGGGGTGGTAATCATTGTATTTTCATAACCTGTACTTTCAATGAGATCTACAATAGTTAGCCTTGCTTTTTAGTGAGAGACTGGATGTCTAAATGCCCCTTCCAAGCTAAATTACTCTATGAATATGATTTGTCTTAAGCCTTTTGAACAAGAACGGTATTCCACTCACCCTAGCATTTTCAAAGGTGTACTGTACCAGAGAGACAAGTACTTTGAAGTTCCCACACTATGAAACACAAACAGTGCCAAAAGCTGAATGCTTTCTTCTACACATATGTGCAGCACAGAACTACTGATGCGACACTACTGACAGCAAAACGCAAGCGAAGTTAAAATTGGGAACTCTGTTCCAGGGTGCAGTGAAGCACCTTGAAATAATGAAACCACCTATTCCATTTTATCAAATTAGTACTAGCTCAATTCTACAAACAGAGGCAATTCTATAACAAGATACATTACTAACCTTCTGGCATTAGGTGAGGAACTTCTCCAGTAATTACTAGCAGGCAAGATTTGATAATCACAAGAAATACAGCTGATAAAGGAAAATAACTCAAAACCATGAAGATGATGCACTGCTAGGTAGAGAACATGGAGGTTTGCCTACAAAGCACAAATTCTTCCTGCACTTGCAGGATCCATTACCTGCCCTCTCCCAACTTTAATCGTCTATCCTACTCTCACAAAAGGCATTCTCTTTAGCTCTCCAAATGTGTACTCAATCTCATATTTATTCTTTTGCCCTACAGGAGTGGAAGAGAGTTAATAGTTTCTTATTTCCCCTAAAAAACCTTAAATAAGGGCTCTAACCAGCTTGGTTTGAAACACCACACACCAGGCAGAAGCAGTTTCTTTTTCACGGCAGTTCCATTTTGTCAGATGACAGGAAAGAGTTTCAGCATCTCTATCAGGTAGAACTGCTGAAATCTGCGGCCAAAGACACCACACCCCTCCACCAACAGTAACAAATTGATTTTTCTATTTCTACTTTTTAGAAGTGGGGAATCTAGTAGAATGCAAGTTTTTCTAAGTGCTCTTCCACACACTTTCCTACTCAGGGGCAACACCATCCTGCAGAACCTCCCCCCTAACCTTGACCATGCCATGCAACAAGCAAGATCAGGGAATTGATCCAAGCTAAAAATAACTTTGCCAACGGCAGAAGTAACTCACAAGCTCCCTGATCTGGTTCACTGAATGATCACAAACAGGCACATCAGTGTAACAGAGGGACAGAGCAGGACAGAATCCCTTAATCCAGCACAGTCATCAAGAGCAAAGACTGATGCTGGTAACAAGTAGAAAAAAGGTGGGTTTATTTGCAAGTTTCCTCCAACTCTTGATGCTGTAAGATACCTCTTTCAAATAATATCAAAGTGTACTTTTAAAGTCTGGTTATCACTTAACACCTTTACCTTCAGATGTTCTTGCATCATTTCACATTTACTTTCTAATGGGCTATGGAAAGAATGAAGAACAAAACAGCACATTGCAAAAACAAGACAGACAAAATGAAATGCTCCTTTGTTACTATTTTTATACTACCGTTGTAAAACACAGCATACCTTAAGGTACTGTTAACTGCTCCCAGTTTGTTAGCTTGCTCACAGTCTTCCAATTCTTTGGAATTATTTGCTGCTTTTGAATACTGTAAAAAAGTTCATATTTAATATACAAATTAATTACCTAAAATTCTCTGAGAACAGGTGTGTGAAAGGCATTTCTAGGTTTAGCAGTGAATTGGCTAGTATCAGGGAAAATCCTCAGATTCTAGAAGCAGTAAGTAATTCTGGAACATTTCTTATTTCTATTTTTCTTCACTTAATTTCATCAGGCCAATTTCGCTCTGTGCATTTAACTACCACAGAAAATTCAGCTAAATATGTCAAAATTTTGGTTGGGTTTTTTTTGTTGTTTTTTTTTGTTTTGTTTAAATTAAATGGAGTTCTGAAGTGTTTCATGTGGTTATTTACATTCTTGTAAAAGGACCTTGGAAGACAAGCAGTGTCATACTTATAAACATGCCTTGTATTTTGCAAACATAATCATACCCCAAGTTTCATTGGTCATTTCAGTAGGAAAATGTATCAGTTTTGGCCATTTCCCCCTCATGTTTCATTTAATCCTGTTCATTGGCATGCTTTACATGTGCACAGGTCTGGAAGAGAGGCTTTTCAAGCTGAACTCAAATTTTGATTATTTTAAAGCCAGAATTGAAGTATTTAAGGTGAACTCTGATTCTACAGCACTTTTTAAAAAGTAATCCACTAAAATAGACTTACTATTAAAATACTTCTAAGGAAAACATTTGAAGAATTAAAGATTAAATTCCCCTATTCTACAATAATATGGTTATGTCAGCAGGGGATTTGTTAAATCTGTCAGCTTAAAGCTCAAAAAATCCTTCTGACAGTTTTGGAACATAATAGATAGTATCAGTGCTCTCTTAAAAGATAAACAAACCCAATTTCCTCTTTTTTGGGGTTTCTGGGGTTGGGTTTTTTGTGTGTGTGTGTGTGTGTGTGGTTTTTTCTTTCGCAGACTGAGCCTTAGGTTCACACAGATTTCTACCTTATCACAGTCCTTAAGAAATACAGATAATTATTTAATGTTAAGTAACTGATAGCTTATGTAAAGCTAAACTGCTGGCTTCCCTTCATTTCAGGGCACATACATATTGACATGAACGATTACTATCCAAAACCAGCTCAAGATAAAAACGTAAGCTAAAGGCTTTGGTCAACCCTTCAGAAATAGCAAACAACAATGATTTTATAAATTTTAAAAGAAAGAGAATAGTTCATTTCTGAGGACAGACTTGTGGTCAAGATGCCAGAGGCAAAGCACCACCACAATACATATCACAGTACTTCTCAAAAATGAAAGGATTTAGTTAAAACTGTTCAGATGAGTAAGCAAAACAACTTGCTTTAAAAATGCATTTGCCAGAACCAATACAAAGAAAAATAGCAGAACCTACTGAAGACCAAAGAAGTCAAGGAGATTAAAAAACCCAAATAATTTAAACCTTGTTAGGGGCCTTGCCCATAACAAATATTTACTCTAGAAGGAACTTCTCACTCAGTTTTCTTGGATTTGCCATGGTGTGGCATCCATCAGATGGATGTTAAATGGAAAAAACTGAACAAGGATCTGACCTAAAATGAAACAGATACTGCTGATGAAATAACATACTGAGATACTGAAGTAAACATTCTGCATGTCTAGAGTCGCAAACCAATCCCTACCCTGAAGTGAAAAAAATTACTGCCAAGAATATAATCCTAAATTTAAGGTTTCAAACAGAATGAACATTCAAGTCTCAAAACAGGTTTCCAGGCTTCAACTGTTCTCCCGTGCTTAATAGCAACAGCTATCGGATCAGTGCTCTGTGACCACTAACTAGATCAGGACAAAGTATCTGTTCCTGCCAAAGCAGGATCTCCTAAGAGCAGTTTCTGGAAGAAAACAGAAAAGAGGTGGGCAGGAAGTAAAATATTAAGTTAAATGTTGTAACCTTCAGTTACTGCATCCTGTCCCTTGCTTCAAAGATTAATACAGCAGCTGTCATGACAGTTCTTTAATGTCTAGCCCTCCAAAATGTGTTCATCACTCAAATGAAACAGGACTATAGAAAGGGAAACTACTTTGTGCCTCTCCAGCACCATTTCAAAAAGCTTATGTTGGTGCCAAGAATTAAAAAGAGATCCCCTATTGCTAATTACATTTCTGTGGGGAAGTTGTGGAAGTGTCTTTGTGGCTAGGTGAGCTTTCAAAAGAAGAACTGTTCTCTCTATGGTTCAAAAAACAAACAAAAAAATCCCCCATGAAAGCCTAAATAAAGCTAGAAGTTTACAAGCTCAATATTCATAGTAAGATGAGTTTGATGTTTCCTTAAAAGGGATATTAAATGAGATTGTCAATTTTTAATTGGCTCCAAGAAAGATCTTTAACTGAATCATAAGAAGTAAGAAAATGGTGTAGGCAAGATTTATGTCAGTCCTGACGACAATTTTCCTGCAGAAATATTTCGTTTTCTGACAGAGGAGCAGCAGATATTAGTGTCTTTGTTCTACTACAGATTAAAGATGCAGAATTGCCCAACTTTCAGTACAGTAGCTGGTTGCAACAACCTATAAGGCAATTCAAAGGAAACAACTGTAGCAAATATACTAGGAAATGATAGCTTCCGAAAGAAGCTATCCCAGTTTCTTTATTGTAGTGAAAGCCAATGGTGGCTGATTTTTCACTTCCAAAGTCCAATTCAATATGCTCATGTGAAGTATCTTAAGAACAGCATACTTTTTGGCTACTAATTAACATCTTACTTACGGCTCTCAAGATTAATCAATCAAGAAGCTCAAATGCCTACGAGAAGAATCCCTTCTGAAACAGTCTTTAAGAGTCTTAAAATGCCTCTTTAGGCGGCATTATGGTATTCCAGGAGTCAGTTTCTCTACAATCAACCTTGGAAGAGAACAGAGTCAATGAAAAAGAGAACTGGCAACAGATTACCCAGCTAAAACTCAAGATCTTCTGCCCTGAGATAGTGCCAAAGTTTTCCCAGAAAAACTGCTGCTGCTTGTGCTGAAACCATGAATGACTGACATTTAAGTCATGTCAGTGAGAAAGATGTTTCTACTCTGAACACCAGAAACCTTTAAATGAAGAGGCACACTTTACTTCAGAGTGAGCTTATCAATCTATGTATAAACAGGAGATGGGACTTCCTCTGGAGCTAAAGCTTGGACAGACTTGCCTGCACTGTTCATGACAGCAGGACACAGAAGTCATCAATTCACGATGAAGTATTCCTCTCAGCTATCTTCGGTAATCTTTCTTGGCATAAAGTCTAAACCTAATGCCAATGGTCATTTATGATACGGTGAACTACACTCAGATGAGGCAAGCAGCAACTATGGCTGCCCAGTGAGGTGGAAAGTACTGGGGAGGATGGAGATACGATAGTTCAGCAAGAATAAGTATGAGTCTACAACACAGCCAAGGCACTTAACAGGGAGATCTCTCATTTGGGCATCATCATCCCATCAACCGCTAAAATCCTTATTCTTGGGCACTGTGTTTGGGATTTGGGGGTGGGGGAGGGTTGTTTGTCTTTCTGCTCTGACCTCTTTTCTAGGCATATATACCCTCTTTACTTTTTTGGCTTTGCCAAGATCACTTGGTGATCTAGGAAGGATGGCTTGGAGAGAAGCAAGCAAAAGCCAACAGCACAGACTGACTACTTACGCTTGCACTGACCACTTTAGCCTAAATTGTCTTTAGACTAATGACCAAATCATCTTTAGACTAATGACCTGCTCAAGATTAGACATAGCAAAACTACATGTAATCGTTCAGGTTCTTTTAATATTACAGGTTGTGGTTATATATGATTCTTACAAAAGACTGCACTGCTACTGCATCTGTGCATCTCGGCCTATGGCTTTACAGAAGGTGGCCTGTACTCAGAAATGAACAAAGAATTTTGTACCAGGCATTCTGTGGCCATGTACTGCTGTCCCTGGTCATTCATTGATTCAGTCTGCACCAACTCTCAAGCTATGACAGACTCAGAATGACATGACAGTACCAGCTATGTCAGAAACAGTATTATACATAAAAGTAAAAATGCAAAGCCACATAAAGGAACTGATCAGTTATGTTAACAATTTCACCACTATGCCAAGACTGAAGGTTTGTAATAAAAAGTCACGCAGCTACTGTAATGTTAAGATTTAAAAAAAAAAATCAGAAAGAACTTAGAAAATAAATTACTACTTACTTTATTAGAGCTCCCAGCCTTAATTCCAACAGGTATTTTGCTCTAAAAACAAAAAATAAATCACAGTTTTTACACTGTTCATAGAAATTATTATGCTTGATGAAAATCTACAAATTAAATATCACTCCTACAGAGGTCAAAGCAAACTTGTTTTTAAATAATTAACTTGCTCCTTTACCTTCTCAACATGTTATATCCAGAACAGTGCTAGAGTTTAGAAAAGACATTTGTTTTATTGGTAAAATGACTAAAACCTTAAAATATTTCGGTTGTATTTCTGCTTTTGAAAGGGAAAATAATTTCATTGTCACTCTTTTATTTAAATCTAAGTTCTCATTAGTAAATATTGTTAAGTATAGTATTAGTCACTGCAAATTAGCAAACTTTTTAACCAAATAACCTTTTTCTATTTTATATTATTTGATCCATACCTCAGGACAAGGCTCTACATGACAATCTTTGATAGAACAATGGCCATCATCAGCCCAAAATGGGCATGGTCTCTTCAGGTTGACCTAAACATACAAAATCAAAAGTTTACAATCAACACCTACACAAGGCAACTTTAAAAGAAAGAGCTCTCAGTATCAGGAAATCCTTTCAAATTAAAGGAGATGATACAAGGAAAAAGGGTTAAATTTAGTACTTTAAGTTTGGGGGGTTTGTGGGAGTTTGGTCTAGTATAATAGTATATTAAAGCACAAATTAAATCTCTCGCCACTAATATAACTTCAAAGCAGTACATTAACTACTAAAAAGAAGGCAAATCAGACATATGCAGCTCTAAAATGGTTGTACTTACAATCAGTTGTACTTGTACTATACTGATCAAGAAAATACATTTGATGGAGGACAGACTAGTGCACAAGTTTACTAATTCAAATAAGCGCTTGGATGATTTCAGATTTCAAGCAATAAAAACAGGCAATCACTACTACACATCATAGCTAGTAAAGGAAGAATGAGTATCATAATGACCTCAAATTATAGAACTGATCCAGTACAAATATAAATAATGAAGAGAAACCACTTCAGAAACATTACCAGCAAATCCTGTAATGATTAGTGCTCCTATTTGTCATCAAATGGCACAATAAAGGCAGGGAGTACCACACACATTAGTATATACACATTGCAAGAGACTCAAACACTTTACTACACTTCACTTGGAATGTCAATGTGAGAGTCAGTGAAGAAAAAAAAAAGCCACCTTTCCTTTACATTAGCCTTATACATACGAACAAACATTAGTGATAAAAAACACTTTGACCTCATCACTCCTTAACTGAAGACTACAGACTAAAGGTTTTCCTGCATGATCAACCAGAAACACTGCAGAAGTACACCATCTCTGAAATCTAACATTACAAATAAAATACAAAGCATTTATCCTCAGTAGCAACCACTATCTTCCAGATAAAAAGTCGGTTTTAAAACTTTCAAAGTAAAAAAAGAAAAATCACACAAAAATTACTTTATTCTTTTACTTTGTTTTCCTTTAGCACAGCTTGCACTAGTTTTCTTCACTTGATAAATACTATTCATGAAGATATTCAACTGAAGTCACTACTTATATCCAACTACATCCTGAATAATTTGATATATCACTTCTTATTTGAAACTGTTGCAGATATTGAATTTGATTCTGTAGTCAGACACAGCAAGAGTTCTATAAAACACACTGTGAAATTAAGCCTAATACCCCAAGGATGGCATCAGGCCCTAGAGCAGTTTCAACACAAAAATTTAAGAATTATAAATGTGCTTATAAAAATTATTTAGATCTATAAATCTTAAGTCAGAAAACTAATCCTTATGCTAGCTTCTGGAAAAAAATACATACAAGCTGTACAGTAAATTGTCACACACTATAAAGAACAGTGTTACTATACCTCATAGGTTAAAAGACTGAGACTAAACACTTCATCAATTTAGTCTTCAGAAAAACGTTTTCCCCTTATGTGTAGGAACATTTTTCTAATTAATGTAATTTATATCCTATACTTTCACTTTACATAAGGAGAAACATAGACAGGAAACAAAGCTTAAACATTTAGTACAGTAGTGCCAGAGCAGCCCCTTAGGCAAAGAATTGGCAACTGAACTCTAAATCCCATGCTCTGATGAACTTGGAGTCCACTGCATGTGGTACTTGAAGGGTTCTGGCTATGATAAAAGAAACACACTACTTAATCTTTTAATTTGGAGTAAAACTGAAATCACTGAGCCGTCTTGAACAATTATTCCATTAAAAAAACCCTTTATGCTTTGAACACATTTAACTGGCAGAGTACATTTATACTGGATCATTCATTTGCTTTAAGTGGCCTGTTTTGGGGGGGAATGCAATAATAGAAGCCCAATGGCTACGTTCACTGAATTGTCAAACCAGAGCCTCAGCAATAAAAAAATATGAATAAAATTCAATTTTTTTCCCCAGCATTATACATAATACACTAAGCATAAGGAAAACTAGATCAATATGCTTCTGATACAAAGCAGGCACAATATGAAGAATCTGAGATGAATTATAGCCAGATATTACTCTCCCTCCAGTCTATTCTCTTAATTTTGACAGCTAAGAAATATCAAAGCTGTGTACCAGAAGTAAAGAAACAACCTTTAATGCTTGAAGGATAAATTGTTCTGTGGCACCACGTACCCAAATTAAAGCAAAACAAAAAGAATTCCCTCTTCAGATGTTCTGTCAATACCACAAAAGATCCCCAAAGAGCAAAACTTAATGTTTGACTTGCTCGACTGCCCTTTATTATACTAAATTCCCCTACTAAACCTTTCAGCAAGCAAGTTCTTTCTGTATTTTCAAAACATGCATACAAAGCTAACCGCTATATAACATCTGAAGGAAAGACTGTTTTCCAGGTTTCCATTTTGATGTACTTATTCAGCATGACTGGGAATTATAAATTCAGCTTTAAAATGTTAAAAGAGATTCCTCCGTCAAAAAAACCTAAAAAGACATTAAGCAGATGGTACGACTTCTTAGGAGTGATGACAACTATCTTCTAGTTACACAGTTCAAGCCCCGCTAGCACAGATTCATTAAAAGCAAAGATTTTAGGTTGCTTTTTCCTCCCCATTTCCTCTATTCAATCAACAAACACCATCCCTAGAAAAAAAAAAATGTAAAATTTTAGCATTTTTTGTACGTGTTCACTCATCATCTTTTTTTAAATAAAGCACAAAAAAGTGTTACATTTTACATCACCTTCACAATAAGACCTATTACATAAAGCATGCCCCTCCCACCAATTTCTACCAAAAAAAAGACCAGCTAACATAGTTAGACTACAACCTTCTTCAAAGTAAACTCTAACAATAAAACATGCTAACATACTTAGGAAGATCCAAGTAATTAGGCAGTCGCTGTTCTTACACAGAGAAACACTGTAAATAAAAGAATACTGCTGTCTAAACTGCAGATTAATTTAGAAAGAACACCTTCAAATCAAGATATACTAGTCCCAGAATGATTCAAGAGCACTAAAAACCAGCATGTGCACACACACTTCTGAGACAAACTGAGGCTGTATAACACTTGTACTTTAATCAGTACCAATCATGCACTGACTACATAGAACATCCTTCTACTTTCTTCAGGGCCTGAAATATTAGATTTCATTATTATCGTTTAGAGTATTATTCAATACTTGTCACACATGAAAAGTTAGATTCCTTATCATGAGGCTTCCATAGTTTGTGTGTTTTGATGTATAAAACTATACAGAGACAAAATTTTTTATTCCTTTATTTCTTTCATTGAGAAACGTTCCACTAACTATCTAGAAACCACCTAGCACAATTTCAGCCAGACTTTAAAAAGAAAGTTTTCTTTGGCCTTTAAATAAAAACTAGCTAGTCCATTCAGTATTATACATTAAAGTTCGAGTTCTTTTATGGCTGTTGAACTAGTAACACAATGGGAATACTGTGACTGTAGTTACAAAAGTTCATGATCCAAATTCCTATTACAAATTAAATTACTTCAGAGTAGGAGTGTTTTCACTCCCAGAACCAGTATACTCCCCCCATGTTTGTTCAGTATTTAGCTACACTGTAGGTGACCTAGATGATCATTGCCTATCCTCACAATTTCCACATCCATCTATGTGCTTAATAGCACTTCCATGATTCTGTGCAGGGTCATCAAAAAAACTGTTGCTTATTCAGAGGGGAAAGGGTGAAAAATGTTCTGACTTATTCAGTTTGCTTGTTCAACACAAATTCTGTTCTATCACAACTGAAAGTGCTAAATAATGTGTGGTGATGGGTGGACTGCACACTGGCCCTTGTAATTGCCCATCTATTAGGAAGATCAGTATGAAAGATGTGGTGGGATTGCAACACAACATTAAAGTATGATCTGCAGAACTGCTGTTGAAATGAAGATTAGCTCTAGATTTGAAGGATGAAATTACTGTTGTATAAAACCTTGTATACCTGTTGCTCCTCCTCTTCAAATACTTTGTTTTGTATCTTTCTGTTGCCTCTGGAGAATCTAATTACCACTACTATGTGTTGTATTATCACTGAAGTTGCACATATCTTGTTTCTCCTGAAAAGTGAAGTTAGAACTGTATCATGTAGCAGGAGGAGATTCAGGGTAAAGTTACACGTTACTGCTTGCTCAGACTACAAAGGGAAGATTCTAGCACTTTTTTCTCCTTCCTCACATTCATAACCCCATCTTGCATGAGTTTAATACTTGTCTGATTCCAGATCAGGTAGATAACTTGCTACATCCTGGGGAAAAGAAAAAAACCAAGCAACCCCAACAACCAAACCCAAACATCCAAGCTAAAAATCTTAGGTTAAAGAGATGCATTGGCCTAATGCACAGTCAGACAAGCCCAAGAGCTAAAAGCAGGGAAGGGGCAGGACGGTCTGCCCTAAAAGGAGTGTAACCTCCTTTTTCCAGTGGCAGGCAACCATCTGGTTAGCACACTCAAAATGCAACCTCATTTTCAAGTTAAGTATATCTGAAAACAGAAGTATCAGGCTTCAAAGTCTTATTTTGCTCATCAGATTCTAATACAGAGAAAAAAAAATTTTAAAGTCTTAAAAATTGATATTACATGCTACTTGAAAATTGAATATTTTTACCTGTTTTTCAAAGGAATAACGGTTCTCTAGATAGCAAACACTAAAATAGAACTAAGACAGCAGCTTATAAGAAAAGGAAATCATTGCAATATTTCCATTTCAAATTACACACATTTCTTAGAAGACAAGTACTGCACATTGTCAGAAAGTTGCTAATATACAATCCTTTTCCAGATGCAGCAGTACAAAGATACTACCTTTAAAATTACCACTTATCAGTTGAATGAAAGCAGTCATGATTTACTGTCACTGACTCCAAGATTAACACAGCAAACACGACCTATTACCAACATAAATGTCAGGGACTGAAAACCTGCTACAATCAAATTAAAGAGCTGTGGGCTTCTAAAAGAGAACTTAATATAGACAAGTTAATTTGATATGTAATCCTCCCTATATTTTCTGGATTTTATTTAAATTATTCAGGAAAATGCCTTCTAATTGTACCTTGTAATATCTGAAGTAATCACGTTCTTGCAGTTTCTGTATTTTGGGGAAGATCTTGAAAGTATTGAAGTCATCGATGCTTTCTATGTCACATAAGCAATCATCTAGGACCCCCGTGAGCTATTAAAAAAATACACAAAAAATTATTTTTAATCAAGAAATGCAATATTAAATACAGAAAAATCCTCTAAAGAGAAAAAGATGGCAGTCAAAAGAAATACTAGGAAAATGCAGTTCCATAGCAAATAATTTATTTCTCACCATTACAATACTCTACAACATACCTTACACACGCAGAACTAGAAAATAACAGACCTTAGCACTTTTTCTGAACTTAAGTCCACCTCCAAATGCAATGCTGAATCAATGTTAGCCAGATTAACACTTTCAGCCCTCAAATTTGTTGACAGATTCAGCATATAGAACTTTCTGCAGAATGAGCAGCAAGATTTTCCAAACTACGAACACATGGTATATTAGCACATCAGAGTTGCATACCAAGTATTCCCCACCAAATGCTCATTAGCTGAATTGCCTAAAAAAAACCCCACAATCATGCATTGTCATCTTATTTTTTAATTCTTCTCAAAGCGTAAGAACACTCCAGCTAGTTTCTTTAGAGGCATGGGAGAAAGGGGAATAGGTACTTCTGTGCCCAAGAAGTTAGTAACTTCACAGTTAAATTCTACAAGTAAATACTAGGAAAACCAGGTGCAGGCACCTATATTGTAAGGCTGTAAATCTATTGTGAAACTAAGTCTGAACTTTCCAGGTCCCATCCCTCTTCTTGTGCCAGGACAGCAAGCTGGTTCAAGGTACTGCACTAGCTAAAGACCACCTCTATGAAAAGGAGTGCACACAAGCGCAGAAGCGCTACTGCCAGCACAGGAAAGGAAGGCAGGACTGTGCAAGTAGCAGAGAGGACAGGCCCAACTAACTTAGTAGACTAAGCTACGGCAACACTTTTGCTGAGACCCTGTCAGTGTCTTAGTGAAAGGCGGAAACACTGAAAGTGTGATTCTATGAACATTTGTATGATAAATTTCATTAAATCTGAACTAACTGCCCCTAAGCATAGCTTCTTAAAACAACTACAAACACGTTTGAAAAGCCTTTCAAACATAAGTTTGAAGGCTATAGACCATATCTAAGGGAATGGAACCAAACACTGCTGGTTAACTACTACTATTCTTCAGCCAGACAGAAATTCATCGACACACATGATGGCCTAGAAAGTACACAAAATAGGAAAGCCCACACACCTTGTATCTTGCATGGGCTTAGAAGAACTTCTAACTATTAAAAGGTTATGTGCAAAAGGAGATGATAAATATTTTGTGGCTTTTTTTTTTCCCTCCACAGGTTTCACGTAGATGAGATTATGAAACCATCTAATCTGTTTTATGCATGATAAATCACTCCACTACTTTACAGAACAGATACCCTTATATAATCAAGCTTGATGTAAAAGAGTCACTAGAAACCGAATTGTAGGCTTCTGCTCTTCTGTGAAGCATAAAGGAGGCCTGGAAAATGGATTTCCCCCAACCCCCTATGAGAATAAAGAGGCGAGGGTATGGCAATGAAGCATTTAAGTAGAAAATTCACCTCCTGTAGATCCTACTTTTCCTGAGGCACTAAATAGGCTGTCACAATTCTGCAGAGTAGATACGGCAATGAAGTAAAACTCATTGAAGGGAAGTTACTTTACCCAAAGTCTCCCATGCTGTTATGCTTGCCTTGTTAATGTTATCTAACTTCAAACCTGGGCAAACAGCTATGAAAGAGCCTATGTGCAATTAGAGGTTTTTCACAAAGCCAAGAAAGCTCATAGCCCACATGGCTGCCAACTTCAAAGTCAGAAGACAAAACTTGTTATTATTGGTACTTACAGAAATAAAAACCCCATGCATTTTAATCTATAATGATTTTGTTAAAAATTTCAAATTTTCTTATCGGTCACACATAGGCAGAAATTAATTTTGCAGTCTTTACAGGTAACACCATACCACAAAACAAACAGCAGTGCATTTCTTTATAATATAAAAAGGCAAAAAGATAACTCTGAGCATTTTGCTCAAATATTATTAAACTGTATAAACAGGATAAACCTTATGTGAAGAGCAATAATTTATTAAGCTGACAGCAGTAGGAAAGATCCAAGAAATTTTCTATGGACTCAGAAGATAAAGAGTAGGAAACTATTTCGATGACCACCTCATGAAGCTATCCACTGCTTACAAACATATTTTTACCATCTATGCAAAACTGAAAATACTCTTTTGGGGGAAAACGTCCCAAATAAACATGCAGAAGTTACACTCAGTGACAAATCCCCATGGAAAAATAAAAAGCTGCAGCCTTTTTATTCAACTAAGATAGCAAGCTAATGGAGGTCACACCTTTGCCAGATGTCCCTGATAAAATCTCAATCCTAAGAACATCTTTCAGAATGCAGTACAGTTACTCAGAAGGAATTTTCAGAAATAAACCCTCCCCAAAAACTAGAACTGGTCTAAGAAATTATTAAGAGAAAAATTAAAGTAACAAGAGCAAGCAAACTAAATTCTCCATTTCTTTCTCACAACTTTTTCAAAACAGAAACAGTTAGCTCCCTGTATACATAAAATAGCAAAATCAATGTTTCCTTGGAAGGCATGCTCCAAAATTAAACTATGTTATATCTGTACCAGACCACAATTTATAAAATGGCTTGACAGCACGTATGAAATACCAATACTGCACATCAGTGGAGTCAGTTCATAGCACACTAATACAACAGCAACACAGGCTTCAAGTACCCCAGTTAGAGGTTTTTTATTAGTCCAGGTGTAGTCTTCAGTGCTCTCACTTGCGTAATGATGGCACACTCTACGAACATGCAGAAAATTGTTTCAGTTTTGTCGCCACCTGCATCTTCCAGTGAATTTTTTCAAACTGGAGACACCAAAATAAGAACAGTGTATTACACAGTTAAAATTACGTATTGCAAGACCTATTTTGCTATTCACACAATTGGTATTTTGCCTTTGTTTAATTGAACTATACTAGTTAACTTAGTCCACAAATGTAGAGCCAAACTGTACTGTAAGTTATCACAACTTTTATCACTATGGCCAAGTATCAAGCTTTCTTTTCATCTGTTAATTACTTTGAACTCTGCTATAAACTCTAAAAGCATTAGCCTACTCTAATTTGTGTTCAAGAAGTTGTCTGACATTGAATAGCTGCTATTTCTTCTACATTTCCAATATGCTTATCAAAGTATTTCCACGTATTGTCAAACTTAGTTTGGTTCTTGTACAGGTATCAGAGCTGTACTGGAGATGATAAACTTCTAACTTATCTTCTCCACGATAAATCAACCCTTCTAAAGAAAAGGTCAATGTCCAACCTGCTTCAATTTATCCTTATGAAATCTGGAAAGAGAAATGTATTCAGCACTTCAACATTAAGAAAAACCTGAATAAATTCATATACTAACAAGCAGTCTATTCGTACAAACAACCTTATTAGTGTTATCAGGTTGCTGTACTTTAATTGCTTCAACAATTAGAAGACCACCTGGGATGACTTGTTTTGTTCCTTAGTGTTTTACTTCGCCATAGCTGCAGAATGAGAGAAAAGCTATAGGTAACATGACTCAAAGAACTTATGGCTAGCTTAACTTTTCTCTGCGCAAGTCAAACTCTAGGTATTTAAACTCTGAATACAACATGCTAATAATTTTATGAAATACCAACAACCAATCTCTCTGCCAAGCGTCATAAGAAAAACATGCCAGTTTGTTAATGGCTTCTTTAAGAATCCCAATTCAATTAGCATTTAGTTACGCTAAAATAGCTATTAAAATAAGGGATTTTTAAACCTGAGAAAACCTCAACTTACAACAAAAAAAATTGCAATAAAAGCTATCTATACTAGACTACTCTAGTCACTGCCTTGGATGGTCACTTCGAATATAGCATGTTATACAAAGCAGAAATTTAGAAAACGTAAGAAAACTAATAATCAGATACAGAAGACAAACTTTGCTCCACGTGGACATCGTATTTCCATATAAACTCACTCTAATGTCTTTGGCCTAGCTGAAGTCCTTCCCTACTTGACACCAGCTATTATTTCAGTCACGGTCATACTGCTGATGAATAGGAAACTCCCAGCTACAGCCACTTGTCCTTCTGAAGCTGTGAAGGCAGTTTACAGAAAGAAGGAGCGTTCTCATCCTTCTCATCCTTCTCTGTAATGTGGGCAAACAGACACAAGCTAAACACAAGCCAAAGCCAGGCACTGATATTACCACTCGACTTCTCACCGACTTCATAAGGACACCAAAGTTTCTGCCTAAAGCCGAGGGTATGATCCAACCCAGAGCTCCTCCAACACAACACCCCACCAACAGCAAGCAGTGTTAGCTGGATTAAACAACTCCTCTGTGTAGCTGGACCGTTATATAAGGTACTACCAGCGGTTCCCAGGTCAACCAACTTCTCCCCTCGCTGTAGCACCGGGGCCTCACAGACCGGAGGCACCCAACCACCCGGCCCCGGGCTGGATCCCAGCAAGTAGCAACCGTAGGGCCGTAGGGTATCGAACAGGAAGGACGTGGGCTACAGGCTTCAGCGAGGGATCCCCAGACTTCTCCGCCGGGGAGGCTGCAGAAGACACGGCCCGAAGCTGCCCTCTCCCCCACGCCTCTCCGAAGCGCCCTCACCGCCTCCTCCAGCCCGCGACGGGAAAGACCCCTGCTCTCCTTCCCCTCAGGCAGGGGTCCGCAGCCCTACCCACGGCCGGTGGGGCAGCCCCGCCCCGCCCCGCTCTCTTCCCTCCCCACGCCCCCCCA